AGAGCTGGCTGGCTTGGCGGAATATTTGAAGAGTAAAACAAATGAATGAAAAAGATAAGTGATGGCACTGGTCCTTGGCAGTAGCTAACAAATCAAATAGGTTTTGATAACTAATTTTTCCATAGTGTAGGTTTGCTACTTTACATAGTGGAGCTACTTAATTTCTTTATCGCTGAGCAGTACTTACATAGAGTCAAGGCCTTTTCTGCTTCTCACACCACCCCACCAGCAAGCAGGCTGGGGGTGCACAAGAAACTGGGAGGGGACACAGCTGGGACAGCTGACCCCAACTGACCAAAGGGCTATTCCATACCATATGACATTATGCTCTGCTTGTAAAGCTGTGGGGGGAGAAGCAGGAGGGGGGGCGTTCGGTGTGATGGCATTTGTCTTCCCAAGTAACCGTTACGCGTGATGGAGCCCTGCTTTCCTGGAGATGGCTGAACGCTTGCCTGCTGATGGGAAGTAGTGAATGAATTCCTTGTTTTGCTTTGCTTGCATGCAAGGCTTTTGCTTTACCTATTAAACTGTGTTTATCTCAACCCATGAGTTTTCTCACTTTTACTCTTCCAATTCTCTCCCCCGTCCCACTGTGAGGGGACTGAGTGAGCGGTTGTGGGGTGCTTAGTTGCCGGCTGGAGTTAAACCACAACAGCAATGAAAAAGTGCAAAATCTGCTCTTCCAGGTGCTTGGGAGGAGGGAATACTCTACCCCCATGTTCCAAAAATGTACCTTTCTGCATATGCATGTGGAAAGATTCTTTCATTGAAATTGTTCACATCTCTAAACATTAATGTCAGAGTACCTATACAATCATTCAAAGGACACAGCCGTGAAGCAATACTGTAGAATTTCCAATGCCACACTACTCTTCCATAAGGCTAAGTAACAAGAAAAAGTAAAAAAAAAATTGTCACAAAAGTGCATGGAAGACAAGACCCAAAACAAGTCCCCAGAAAGATTGGCATCATGCTCACAGGTATTCCAAGAACTGAGAGAGTAGCTATGTTTATTACATAAACAGTGTCTAGTGAATAATTAACAGGTCAGCTTCAAGGTGAAGCTCAATATAGACTGTTCTTTTGTTTTTGTAGTTGTGACTGAGATGTTTTAATGTCTAAAAAAGGGTTATATCAGGTAATCCTGGCAGGATTAAGTGGGAGATTTATTTATTTAATGGGTCATATTGATTTCATTTTTAGATTTAAGTTATACTTTTGATAAGTATCCATGACTCATGGGATGACATATAATTCAGTGTTCCGTCCATTTTATAGTTACGCATACACAAATGTTAAATGAACACTTGTTAAAATCACAATACTAGCCAGTCAAAAGGCTGAAAATGTTCCTTCTGTAAATGCATTTTTATGAAATTGGGGATTATGTACTATTTATTTCATAGGGCCCCTGCCTCTTTTGGCATGAAGTATGGGTAGGACCTGAGCTTGTGAAGTTAAAGAGATTATAGAGTGCATTTTGTAGGACTTCTTCCATTTTGTGACAGAAGTTGGGCAGTGAATGCAGCAAAGGCTTCCAGGGAGAAAAGAACAGGTCAGTGGTTAAGTCAATTGAACGCTGTCTTGAAAGCTAAATTATAACCTTGCCCCTGAGTTTGTAATTGATGCTATGCACATTAGTTACATTTATCATAGGTGGCCACTAACCAATTTTTTTGAGTGTCTGATGAGAATCTGATTTATCAACATGCTGAGTACTTAAATCTGGATCTGAAGTGAATGAGAGCTATAAGTGGGTAAATGAAGTGTGGCATAGTGCTAAATAGTTATACAAAAAAAAGTCCTAGACTGCTCTCATATGAGACACCTGACCTTTGTGGATTCTTTTACCTCAGCTCCTTTGGATCTCAGAATTCCCACTTGTTAACTGAAGATAATAGCATGCCTTAGTTTTGTAGCAATGCTTGAAAATAAGTGTGCTAGTATTTTAGAAGCATTCTGTCAAAATAACCATGGAAGAAAAAACACTGGCAAAATCTGTAGTTCTGTGTTCAGAGCATTACTTAAAGAAAATACAATAGATAGGACATAATGCCAGATTGAGTGGGAGAAACGGTGGAAAACTTCTCATTAAATAAGTATTTTCTATGCCAGTGCAATGCATGAAACAGGGCTCCAGAAAAAAACTGGTAAATGACCATGTACACTAAATGATATAGTAAAACAATACACATGCAGCTGTGAAACAATTTAAAGTTTCACAGACCTGATGTTCCCCAGCTCCGGAGTGTTTTGGTATGGCTCCAATACGGATGGATATTCATGCGGATCACAAGAGAACCACTTATGTCTGCTTTCTTGCCAAACACCATGCCTAGACCATGAGCATGTTACAGCCTATACAGTTTTTATGACAAAGTAATGGCCTTGACAAAGTTATGAGTTGATTAAAACAGGATCTTAAATCTGAAAGAGAATGGCAGATACAATAAATGATAATGTTACTAGCTCCATCCAGGACACAGTGCTATCACTAGAAATGCCCACCCTCATGGCCCAAGAGGAGCACGTCCTACAGCTCTCTGGGGAGAAGCTTCCCTTCTTTCAGGAATGGATTTGGCGATTCAGCAGAGAGCCTAGAGGGCATTTATGGTGGCAAAAGCAAATGAGCGGTGCAGAAGTATATTGCCCCAAAATAGAACAAGTCTCAAAATGGATATTCATTATTAAGACAGAAAAGAGGTGACTGATACAATGACCTAATAGTTCAGTTATGTTTAGGTATCCATAAACAAGTAGCTGTAACAGTAGGTAGGGACATATGATGTGAATGGGGTATAAAAAAATATGTAAAATTTTCTACTCTAACAGTGCTTTTTTACATAACAAGATAAACGTATGGGGTAACAGGTGCTAATGTTTAGTACCAACCCAGCTGCAAAATATTTTCTCTGTCAGTCTTGCAGATTTGACAAACGTTTTATTCAGGAAAGACCACCATGTTGTCAAGACTCAGAGCAGGTCAATAAAAAGGTCCAGGAAAATACACTGTGCTTATCTGGTACAATTGCTGTATAAGTATTATTTTACAGGCATTTTCCCTGCAGTACACTTTGCATCCTTACAAATATGCTAGGAGCTATTATGAAATATGTCCTTATCATTTAAGATAGGACACATAAGGAGTCAGATAACCTCGCAGTAACATGGTATCACACACCACACGTGGCTGTGTTCTTACCCACAACTCCTGCTACGAAAAACAATGATAAAACACTTCCTTGTGGAGCAGGAGCAATTCAAATAGCCAAAACTGTTTGTTACGTTACCTGTTGACAACTCTGAGAGGTGTGGTAACACATTGTAGGACGGGTTTTGCCATGAGATAAGATTACAACAATTTAGAGAGAGTTGTGCATTTATGTATGGGAAGAAAATACTTACTTGGTGATCTGGGACTTAGTATTAACTTCACAAAGACTTTAGATTATCACAGGTTTCGCTTGTTACCGTGAGAGTGGAAAGCATTCCTTTGATTTCACTTTCTCTAGTGTATGGGCATAGTACTGTGAATATTTATAAACAAAATAAACATCTCTACTGAAACAGGTACCTGCCTGCTTCGTCCCCCTCTTCCTCTTTCCCACCGGGGAGAGAATAACTAACTAACGCGGCCGCTCTTAGTCCCCGCTTCATGCACTCCAGAAAAGTGCTCAGAGATGACAGCCGGGAAGAGGGACCGAAGGGACCAGGACGGGGGGGGTGGGGGCTGTCCCGTCCCGTCCTGTCCCGGGGCTTTTCGGCAGCGTGCCGGGGGCTGGCTCCGTCCCGTCCCGTCCCGCCCCACCGCTCCCGGGGCGGGCCGCCCGCCGCCGCGGCCCATATAGGGGCGGCCCGGGGTACCGACGGCATTCGCTGCGGAGGGGAGTACGGTGCCGTTCCTCCCTCCCAACGGCCGCTTTTCCT